AACTTCAAGACAAGCCTCTAAGCACAAGGTTAGTTCTCCTACGAAGCATTGCCCTGACGGTAGCTGTACACCTTTTTGGCCACTTCATTCTTTATACTTAGTACCCCAATATGCTTTTCTTCGCGGGTTTAGGCATCAAACTGCTGCACTTTGTCTTTCACGGAGTGTGTTAATTGCGTTTTTTAGAGTGTTAGAAAATAGTCCGTATTAACAGTTAACGAAACGTGATTGGTCACTGTCCGACCAATTAATCGGTATGTCGGGATTCGAGATGTAAATGCGTGACGCAAATGAACGTCCAAGTGTTCCCTACCACAAACAGTGGATTCGCACCCAAGGGCTGACACTGCAAAGGCATGATGTCCTCGAGAACTGGCTCTGTATTAACCGAGACCTGCTTCCCAGAAACACTGGACGCGTGTCTGTGCTTGGTTTCGTGAAAGTCCCTGAGCCAGTACGCCATAGTGGTCGGCATATTCCCAAATCCTACGGTTAACTGGTATGACGTGTACTGGAACATTGGCTGGGTAACCCGAGTGTACGTTGACAAACGCCCCCTGGACAAGAGTAAGGACAAAGTAAACGGCAAGATTGTATCATTGCCATGTACGACACCGTTCATTGCCATGTTGCAGTCAAGAAACGTAAGCACCAAAGAGCTGACTCTCAAGCACCAATATTTAATAAATGAATTCTCACTGAACTGCTGTCATAATTGATGGATGGAGAGGCCACTGCCTCAAATGACTCGGCCGGGTGATGGGATAAAAACTGCTGCTGGAGTTTTCTTGAACATCATCTAAAAAAAGATGTAAAACGATAAAAGGAAGGAATGTATAATCACACCTGGATCCCACTTTGAGCTTTGGCCTGCGCCGATATTGGGAGACATCTGACCCGTTCGTGGAACTTCTATAGTTCGCGTCACGAAATTCTGCCCGACTGAAGGCGATGACAAAGCTCTTGTAGCACTGCCAACACAATCGCCAATTTGACTCTAGTGGACTGCCCAAACTGCAACATTTCTCTTTTCAGGACATGTGATAACGCATATTTCACACCTTCTTCACTGAGACTGTTCATGTATCTTACTTATTTGTTTGCCCTTCGACGTGACGACGGGCGGGAGATTGGCAGTTAGGAAGCAGTCCCTCTTCGCAAGGGTTCTGGACGTGGTCACCGTCCGTATGACTGGAAGCATCACAAAGCCTCGCTATTTCCCTTACAATGGACAAAACCCTACCTACTTAATGACAGCGAGTAACCAATTAAAGGCCAATAAAAGCGTTTTAGGTCGAATAAGTTGATTCTTGGCTGTCATATCTAGGCCTAATCGGTTATATTTGCGCAAGCGGGCTCTCCCCAACTCTCTCTTAAGCATAAATATAGAGCTGAAGTGGAAGTCCGATAGCATTAATGAGATTGAGCAACAGTACTCTTCAGTAGTTTCAACCTCCGCAATTTACCCATGTATGAAGACATCCAAGCCATCATAATTTGGACTTAGTACAGATTAGCGGCGCCGATTTGTCCCTTAATACGTGAACCCTCCGCCAATGATTAGTTATAAAAAACTACCAAACTGATAGTGCACATGTGTGTAGACGATAAAAGTACTGCGCTCTGACAGATCCATCCCCTTCCCATCGGACAAGACTCTTCATAGCCCTCACTGCCTACGAACCCACTGCCACTTATCACCCTCACCCGTACATTCACACATCCCGGCACTATTTTAAGACCAATTTTAATCTATTTTTCTGATCGTTGACATGTTTCGCTCGGCCCTATTCTCATATAAATGTACTGGCCTGATGGGGATTTATCGGAAGCGAATCTACGCTCGCCAATAAGACTTCTAAATTTTCATCCAGAAAACGTTCGACCTGGGATGGAATTAAAACTCCCGCATCTCGAATTCCGATCAAGAGCTCTAGTAGAACATTTGACCGGAATTCGGGACTTCAGTGGTTTGAGTCTTAATAGCCGCGAAGATTTGCCGGCCGCGTGGCTTCACAGTGTCCTCGTGATCTGTATCACCAAAACGTAACTACTACTAAACTGAATTGCGGACTATTACGCGTTTAACCTGTGCATAGATGATGTCTTACCGACGGATTTGGCGACCTAAGAAAAAAGAGTAGTCAGTAAGAGCGAAATAGCGAGTCCGAGGATGCAGCTGAGAGAGAGTGGCAACCAGCTAAATCAGAATATTTGCCTCACGCCTCAAATTCTCACTCGATCCCTTCATCAGAAACAGAAATAGGTGAGGGCGGTGGACGCACAATGGGTGCAGCATTTATAGGAAGCAATTGCCTTGCCACTCTATACCTGTCGTAATTACCAAGCCCCTCATTCATCGCAGATGGTCGCATGTGATGCAGTGATTACTTCGCGCCGACACCTTAGTCACCGATTGCTGCAACTTAATCACCAACGTTGGTTACTGGTGTGATACTGACTCAGAAACTTGACCTGCTGATACTGTCAATAGAATCGGTGTTTCCCTTCGCGCTCTCCACGAGGCTAGTTTCTCTGTCCAGAAGGGAGAAATTCATTGCGCTGGCTAATAAACTGCAGGCCGAGACCCATTACTCGAGCAGTTGGCGGCTCATGCGATTTTCACCTATCGCGAATATCTCGGTCTTACCAAACTTGAAGTTTCTGTCGGGTCATGTGCTGAATGGGTCACGACTTGAGAACTAACGTCATTCCACTTCACTGCTGCAGTTTATTCGGTCATCCTCTCCCGGAGTAAACCCCCAGTTTTTCTGATGTAACTGTTTTAGCTACAACTGCATCAGACTCGGTAACTGTCCCCAGACTTATTTTGTCGTGACACCGGGCCATCCAGGTTTAATACTTGGCGCCCGATGGTTGCATCCGGTGTGCATACACGCACAAATCCAAGTGGCGTAAGATGGCGGCGGACGGCTTCCAAGCCGTCCTTGACGCCTGCCAAAATTAGGAGTCAGTGCGATTTGGTCTCTCACGTCGTTTTTGTATGCAACGGTTGACGAAATCGTCCTGAGCATCCGTCGAAGGCATTGTAGCTCGGTAATTTTGCCTTGCAGTTCTTCCAACACCCCAACCTCTATGTATGATCATTTTGTCCGACTACAACATGAGTATATGCGGGTGTTCATACAACATCAGTGGTGCTTGCCCTGTGTAGTGCAGCACACGATTTTGACACGAAACAATCTAATTTACCTGTAAAATCCATGTAAAAGTATTTGGCATTCTAGAATACCACCCTTAGGTATGACTTAGCATCATCATCGCCGGCTTGGACTTGTTAGCGAGTAGGGCCACTTGAGCATACCGATCAGGTCTCCGTATAGAATCGATCCTTAATTTCTATGTCAGCCACCCACTCCTGTCGAAGTCTAGACCTTGACGCTGATGCTTTTTGGTACTCTCGGTACTTTGGTTGCTTCTTGTGTACCAATTGACACATGTACCTATGCTCTAATACCTGTAGTCAGTATCCAAAGTATAGTGGGAGTGGCTTTGGCCGGTCTGCTTTACGAGAGTAGCGGAACACAGGCGGTGTAAACGTATTTACGTTAGTAATTTTTTTCGCTAATGGCTCGTGGCAATTCTATTATATGTGTATGTTGCAGAACGGAACCGCGAAACAGGAGGAAGTCCCGTATTCTGCCCCTTGCTACGGCCTCATTGGTGACCGCCAGTTCACTATGACCGGACGTAAACTTGTAGGCGCCTTTCATGTCAAGAACTTCAGGTGCTTTGCAGTTAAACAACTTTCAAAAAAACTCACGCCAACGGAAATAGGCTGCCATACCTGCTGACCTACTAACCTGATGCCGATGTTGCCCGCGAATAAACAGATATACAGTAGGTGGGTTAACTCATGAAATCTCAACAGAAATTCTGAAATGCGCCTCCGTTTCGAAAAGATTGACTAACTGGGGTTGTAAAAACAATCATCGTGCAACATAATTCTATAATAATCCAGTTACCCCAGGACGCCGGCTTTCGAACAAACGTCTTTCCGACTGCATCCAAAAATCATACGCCGAAAATTGACTGCTTAAGTAGCATGCATTTTTAAATTAATGTTCGATGTCCTTAAAAATTCAATTATATTTCATGGTAAACATGCATAAAAATATTTAGTCTCTTGCTTATTCATTACAAAATTATGTCTCCTTTCAATTTTATACTTGACGAAAGGGTATAATTCGGTTTTTAAAAAGTTTCTAATTGTGAGATTTTTTTGATACCGTGAAATGGCCCTTCATGGAACGTAATGTCTCTGCATTCACCAATGTAGCCAGTGAAGGTAACCATGTGGTTCAAATCCACTTCTTAATTTTATGAATCCCATATGGTCTCCTCTTAATACGGTAGAGAAATTTATGGTTTTCCGTACGCGAAAATTATACGGCTTGTAGTTTAGGAACCTTGAATGAAAGTGTAACGGCAGGTCGGGTTCAAAACTATTCGGGAATTGGAAAAGTTTTATAAAACCAAATTATACCCTTCCGTTGAGCATAAAATTGAAAGGAGACATAATTTTTTTAATGAATAAGCAAGAGGATAAATATTTTTATGCATGTTTACCATGAAATATAGTTGAATTTTTAAGGACATCGAAAATTAATTTAAAAATGCATACTACTTAAGTAGTCAATTTTCGGCGTATGTTTTTTGGATGCAGTCGGAAAGGCGTTTTTTCGAAAGCCGGAGTCTTGGGGTAACTGAATTATTATAGAATTATGCTGCATGATGATTATTTTTACAACCCTACTTAATTAATCTTTTCGAAACCGAAACGCATTTCGGAATTTCTGTTGAGATTTCTTGCGTCAGTTCACTTACTCTACTTGTCAAAACATGATATTGGGCACTGAGTGTCTGAATGAGATCGTGTTTGCAAAACTGACGCAGTAAAATTCAGATGAGATTTTTAGATGTTTGGATCTCTCTTGGGATAAATACAGCCAGGCAAAACGATCATTTGTAGACAAAACTCACTCCTTTTGAAGTTCTGCAAGATCAGCCTCAGCTCGCCTCAGGCGGACCTCGTATTCTGTTTTCTTCTCCTCGGCAGCTGCCAGCTGGCCACGCAGCTGGTCCGTCTCGGCGGTGTATACGTCGCGCATGCGATTAATGTCCGCGGTGTAATTTGTCCTCAGGGTTGAAGCCTCCCTCGCTGAGGTGCGGTTTTGGGCTTCAAGGACCCTAACCTATAAAGACCAATAGGTAAGGTTACATTTCGGTTAGATCTCTAAGTATTCTTGGTGTGGGTTTTAGTAATGCGGACCATTCTTCTTTGACAAATTCAGGCTTCCAATGGAAAAGCAACGAGTTGGACAATCGGTAATAAAAAAATACTGTACAAAGCACTTCTGATCCATGTCCACTTACGGTGATGTCTAGCTTACTTTGAAATGCCTCATTTTTTCGAATACTCCACTGAATCTTCAACCGCGGCTTGGACTAGAGAGACCCTTTGTGAGTGCTGGTGATTGGGATAGATTCTGGTTCAATCCGCTCTGATTGTCATCTGTTTGGGAAGTTCTATTCGGAGCATAACTTTCACACATAAATCCCCAGTCAGCGTCTCGTCACTGCTTGACTAGCATAAAAAAAATTTCGCGTATTTCCAAAGTCTCATTTCGCTTCATTGGCAATGTGTCAGCAAGTTAGCAGGCTTTAGTCGGCAATGACCAGGCCTTTAATGTGAGCAGTATGTGTACTATCGAATTCACTGTGCACTGAATCGGGTTTTCCTATTCCTTTCTGAATGAAACTTACACCATAGGGTTTGCCCTGTATTTCTTTTCCTCAAGAACATGACGAGGTCCGGTTGACTCCACGCTGATATAATTCTTCGGGCTCCGCATGGTCGGCGCATGCCCCGGATACTTTTGAGCCCGTGTAATTCCTCCTGCATATTTGGCCGCCCGTATGGCGGATGGTGGACTACTAGAAAATAGTATCCATTTCACCGCAGAACGAACCGACAGGTTTTGTAGTTTCACGTAGTTGCGACGACTACATTCTTTGATAGGTCTATGAGCCTCAAGCCGTGCTGCGAACCATTGTCCCAGAATCGGCACACTCGTGGCCTATGTGTGAGTTCGTTTGTAGTGAAGCCTATCTGCATGACACCCAGTTCACTTTGCCCTCCCAAATTTAAAGGTCTGTCGACGAAAAACAATATCTAGACAACTATTGGCTGACGTGATCACAATTTACGACGAGGTTCAAGTCACGTTTACGTGTAACACAAGCACGATAGTCACTGAGTAGTGAGTAGTGACGTACATTGAGGCAGCGGGTCACCAGATCCAATCTGGACGACTTCGCTCTCTCCCTCTTCACTATATCTCGGCGTTCTGTTCAAGTTTCGTCGACTGTGAAAAGACTATTGAAATGCCACCTTCTACCTTCATTCCCACAAGGACTCGTGTCTCCAACACGTAAGAGGTGCCATAAAAGCCCCGTTAAGGAGGTGATATTGTCCTATTACTCTGATTCTAGCGGAGGATCAGTAGGAATGGGTTATATTGTCCTGGTCCCAAGTATAAGCACGATGCGGGCATCGCAAGTGAAGTTAGCCGGAGGACGATGATGAAGCCGTTAGTGAGTAAATAGCCAAAGCTAAGGGCAACCGCGGTATTTTACAGCTTGGTTATCTTCTGACATACTCTTCCAGTAACTTTCGACTAACCACAGGTTTCGTCAGCTTATTTTTAGGTAGGCATTATACTTCAAGGAGTTTCCTGATTTTAAACATACAGCTAACATCTTTTCTGCTTTACTTGTGTAAGGTGACTGAAGAAAGGAACCTCAGTTTGCGAACCAGATAAACGCATGACGTACATTTCAACTTTCGTTACCTGATTCCAGACCTTGTAATCTGAAAAAATGACTTTGCAAATTGAGGTGAACTTTAAATATGTATACTCGTTTACCATAAACTCTTTTAATTTTGCTATTGAGCTTTCTCCCAGGTCTACCAAGACTGACAGTTTCCCAAAATTAAATGAAATATCCGGGCGTCTGTTGAGTCGAGTACATATGGTTGCTGAATTACGCTGAAAGTCGGGCTTTAGGTTTTGCTTGTCGGTGATTTGAGGTATCGGTTCATTTTACTGACGCACCTTCTGCAATTTGCTTGCCTAAGTAAAAATATGGCAGATTTTTTGGCTTACTACCAAGGCTGTAGTATAAAACAATCTCTTTTGTCATCAACATTGTCCTCTTCCAAAAATATCACCAGGACTTACTAGGAATCTTCGAGCCAATTTGCTAATCCAGGGACCCAGGCAATATATAAAAAACCTAGATTATGACACGTCGCTTTGCTGGCCCCGTACGTTGTTACACGCAATTTTGCGCCATAAAAATCATTTGGCACACTTCTGATTTCCCTGTCATTTTCAGTTTTGCCTGACATTTATCCCGTCTGGAATAACTGGTGATGAACTGGGATAATTTCCAAAATAATCGCGTTGCTTATCTAAAAATTCTTACAATGTTATGCCAGCGACCACTCTCTTTCTTTTGGGTCTTTGGAGTCACGGAAGAAAGTTGCAAATTCTAAAAATCGTCCCTAGTCTAAGCCTGTTGTCTCATTGCACTAAGGTCAATAAAGTGGATAATATAAAAGGATTTTGCATTTTTAACCGTGATGTTTTATAGCCTGGTAAACTTCTGACATACTCTTCTAGTGACTTTCGACTAGCCATAGGTTTCTTCAGCTTATTTTCAGGTGGGCATTATATTTCAAGGAGTTTCCTTATTGTAGACATGCAACTAAAATCTTTTCCGCTTTACTTGAGTAAGGGAGTTGAAGAAAGAGCCTCAGTTTGTGAACCAGATGTCAAAATAAGACAGGTAGGAATCAGCTTTTAGGGGTATGGAGACACTTAGACGCGAATTCTGGAATCAAATAAGCTTTGTTTACTCGGAAGTAAAGAAACTGGCGAGCAATTAACCTCTGAAGTCTCTAACTTCTGTGTTTTTCGCCTAAGGGTGTTCTCGTGAGTTGCTCAGTTTTGGGCGATATTTCCCGGTGCAGTTATAAAGTAAGAGGAGAGTTAGGGATCGGTTGCGCTGTCCTGGTCCCAAGTATAAGCGCAATGCAGGCATTGCAAGTGAAGTTAGCCGAAGGACGATGCTGAAGTCGTTAGTGGGTAAATAGCCAAAGCTAAGGACAACCTTATGTTTGGGTTTGTAGTTAGGGTTAGTTTTAGGGTTTGGATTGGTGTCAAGCTGAGAATTGAGTTTAGGTTTTGTGTTAAGTGTGAGGGTTCCGGTTAGATTTAGGGTTTGGATTTCGGTTAAGGTTCTGGTTAGGGTTAGTGTTTGGGTTAGGGCAGGGCTACTGTTAATGTTAGGATAGGGTTAGAATTTGGATCAGGGTTAAGGTTAGGATTAGGGTTAGGACTAGAGTTTGTGGATGGTTTAGGGTTAGGTTTAGTGGTAAATTTAGGGTTAACGTTAGGTTTGTAATTACCTTAAGGATTATGCTTACATTGGAGGATTCGGTTGGATTTACGGTTAGGTTTGGGGTATTGCTGTCCCATGTGTTCCGTCAGCCAGGTCCTTTGCGATGATTCTAGGCTTCCTTCAGTCTTACCGTAGATTTGTCATACATCAGGTTGCCTTTTCCGTTTCAATCTCAGCTACTTACTCCGCTACCGATTTCGGCTTCCCGCTCCGGCTTACCTTACTTTCAGTGCTCACATTTCGCCTACATTTATGTCCAGGACAACGTAATAGACCCTTGTCGGAGGATGAGTTGTGCCTTCATTGGCAGCTTCCCATCCCACAGCATTTAATTTGTCATGATGAGTTCAAGCGCTGCAGACTCACTATGTTAGGCGTTGGGATGATTTGCCATGGGGTAGGATTCGCCGCGATCGACCTCATTTCCCCTTTCTTGTGCAGCAGTAATTTATTCGAGCATTTAAACAGACTGATTGTGAGTCCATGCCTAATAGCCAAAACTGTGTAAACTCTGTTTACTCCTCACCACATTCATCTTAGCCAACAGTTAAAAACTCGTGCAATGGTATGATTTGTGGTCGGGGTTATTTACTCCGGGAAGCAGTTGTGCTAAAGAAAAATAACTGGCGGAATTTATTTGCAAGTGCCAGAGAAAGAGATAAAAAGACCTCGTTGTGGCTGTTTAGCGAGGATGATCAAGATGTTTTAAGGTAGTGATCGGAGTAAAAGCACGACAACGCAATACCTTTTTGACAATACCTGCAAAGGGGCATTAAACTCATTTTGCTATTATCAAAAAATGGCAAAAATAATGTTCCCTTTTAACTTGTGACAATATGGGGGATCGAGAGTTGTGATACCACAGCGTTCTTTGATGTTCAGCCCTTTTGCTCAGAACAAATGCCCTCCCGGAGTAAGTGATCCCGGCCATAAACCATGCTGTTGCCAAAACCCACACAGACTCAACGCTGCCCGACTGGGACAGGCCCCGAAGCAATGTGGGCACCTTACGGTGTGTGTGTGTGCCGCCCCCGCTGGTTCAGACGCCAGTTGAGATACGACCGCTGGAAACAAGGACCTTATTTGCATGACTGCGAATTCTCACTCAAGCCCGTCATCAGCAACAGTCACACCGACACACACACAGGAACACTTCTACAAGCAGCTTCTCGGGATCGATCTCACGCCTTGCCTGCTACGACTGCAGCCTGGTCTGCCTACGCAAAAGACTCTGTTTCATCCCTAGCCTCGAGTGTCACCTTTTCTACATGTAGCTTGTGTACGCGGCTGGGCACAGTACCGACACACTTGCAGAAGAGAAGGGCACGCGCACTGTCGATTCAGTGACGCAAATATGGCGAGAGTTGCCTCCGTCCCCGGTAGACGCTGAGATTAGAACCAGACGGCTGTTATGTGTCATTGAATTGCATCCAACAAAACATGGTGAAATAGCCACCATGTGCAATTACCACGCAAACACTGTTGCCGCAGCCAATCAGACCCAGCACCAAGCAAGGAACTCGTGCTCAGCTAGCAGCACTATAGAGCGACTATGGGTAAAGGAACGGTAAAGCAACAAACGCCGATAGTTTGTTGTTTAAGCTTTTGTTTCTGTCATCGGGTTGTGAAATTCGTCGAGGTTTTTTTGCTCTTCGCCATTGATGAAACTTTCTGGCACTGAACGCCCTATAGAGATCTTTAACTGCTACTTTAAGTTGGTGGTCACTTATACTATGCATGTGAAGGGCTCACTTTCGTCTTTGTGTACTACTGCTGAAGACTCAACCTACAGGGACGAAGTTGTTGGTCATAGACAAAGGCTGCCAGCAGTAGTTCTGGCAGCCTTTCTAGTGCCACCTGAAATTTGTACCCGAGTTTGGGACTAAAATGCGCATTGCTTAGGCAAGCACTCCCCAGTGTTCGTTGAAACATGTTTCAAGCGCTTAGCGTTTGGTGTTGAACATGCCGCTGTAGCTGATTACTCAAAGGAAATGTGCTTGGTTTGCATGTAATTTATCAGTACACAGTTGATGGACCATTGCGACCGTTAATACTGAGGCGGAACTACTTACATTACTTAACTGTTACGTCAGTAAGAGCCCACATATGCGAGTTAGATGTAACCTCTGTCCTTGAAAGGATGAGCTGCCTGATGTCGACAACTGGAAATCAGTACTTTCATTTCTCAGGCCGCTTTTAAGTCAGTCTGCTTGCAAATTTTATCTCCCCGAGGAGACCAGTTGTCATTATAACCGGTCACTTTCTCTTGCTCTCCCTGGTATTACTGCCTTCATATATCACTGAGTGTGGAGAAGCTGATTTTAAGGACTGAATAACGACCGAACACCTAACTTTAAAAAGAACTTCCACAGACTTTGTGCAGCAGATAGGACGAAATGGGCAACAGAAAGCTTGGGCCTTGGTTAGAAAATGGCTGATGAGAAGTAAACTGGTGAGCACTCACCCTTTCAATGAAACTCGATAGTCGGTCATTCAGTCGACGCAATTCAAACATCTCACGGGCCCTGCCCTGTATCATCTCACTCACGTCCATAGGCTCTGTGCTCCCCGCTCCACCACCTTCCTCAGACTGACATTGTCTGTTTGCAATCGTTTTCCCAGCCTGAGTACTCTTGGGCCGAGTGGGACAGCGCGTAATCAGCACGGACTGGCTGGTAGAAGTCATTGTCGTATAGCAACTCGTTTCCTCGGCGTTCGTGTGACTACACCTCAATGACGATGGAGGTGCAACAGTAGTGTTTCGAGCGCCAGAAGTGCTATTCTTTGACTGCTCGTGGGGAACACCATCCATGCCTTCTGTCTCATCCACGCTCAGGAGAGACGGCGATAGAGGCGGACGAGAGCAGTTGTTGGTACTTTTGGGTAATTTTAGACGGGAGCAGTGGGCATCCTTTTGTAAAGACTGGTCCATTCGGTTGGAAGTTTTACTGCTGCAGGACGCAGCCTACCTCAAGAAGAATGCAAACAACAGGCTAGTCTCATTACTGTCTAAATCTTTTAACGATCGTGTATACGTGTGTGTGGGTGTGTGTTTGCATGTGTGCGTTTTCGCGTCTGTGCGTTTTGCATGTCCGGGTCAACGGCTACTGCGCGGCTCTAAGTTCACTCTAATGCGGTTTCGAGCAGAAGGTTGACGGTCCCCTAAACAGCGTTCTGCCTAAGCTCATTATTATCACATAATTGCTGCCCTTAAACCAGAGAGTAATTCTTTGCGCCAGTAATTTACTGCCAATGGTTTATCTTGTGAGATATAACCCGTGGAGGAGCATTAAATAAATATGCCGATGAAGACCGTAGGCATATGTAAAAAGGGAAGAAATTGGCTCAACCGAAAACTGGGACGTTAAGAATGCCTTCGGTAGATGTGTCGTAATTTAAAAATGAGTTCCAGCGATCCTGCTAAACGCGGTAATTTTCCCAAACCGAAACGTGAAAAAAGGCTGAATGAACTGCGAAGTCAGTCAAACTGGTAGGAGGATTCATCGAATTTTTCCTGTTTTTTTCGGTTTACTGATAGGATAGACAACCTTAGCTGCTTGAATTATATGCGAACTCATCTTACATGCGGTACCTGCAAATTAAAGTGTCATGCACCAGTCTACGAAACCCATAAATCTATATTAGGTTCATGTATTCGAAATACGCTTTAAGCGTCATTCATGGTCGACTAGGAAACATGGGCTGTCGGGAGGTGACTGAGCAGTTAAGTGGATTATTAGTTAATAGGTTGTTCATGTCAACTGTTGCAAAGATTACCCGTCTGCATAGGTGAGTCAGGCAAACGTTAAATGGTTATATATCAAGCAATGGTAAAATCAAAGTCCGCGGGAAACCCTTCTGCACACAGAGAGAACTGAGTTTCCTAATAAAGCGACTGAAATGAGTAGCATCATCTCCGTGGCGATATAACTAAAAGTCACCGGGATTCAAACAGCTTCTACGGCTAAGTGTTAGTCGGTTGGGCACGGGAATATGGACCACACGGAGAAGGAGGTAGGATCACTTAAACAAATGCTTTAATAGCCAGACGTTTCGGATTCTCGCTCGAATCCATCATCAGAGACAAAGTCAGATACGGGTAGTGGATTGCCCAGGTGTTGCAATATCTATAAGATGTAGTTGCCAGGCGACTACATGCCCATCACAGTTGGCAGCTCCCGATTGCATCACAGCTCGACTGGCCAGGTGTTGAAGTATGCCCTGGCCATGAAGTTGCTATGCGCATGTATGTCGCCCAAGACTCTCAGCTCCCACGCTCATCGTGCGCTGCCGAAGGGCTGACCACTGGATTTCGTCATCCGCGTGGACTCTTGGGTGATTTGGCTCGCCGAAATTGCTACCGGGGACAGTGGTCATCCGCACGCTCTCCTCGCAGCTAACTACTTTGTACAGGCTAGGTCTCAGCGCTGAATATGGAGCGGGGAGGTCGTTTCGCTTGTTGACTGATTGAGGGTCGAAAAACCGTGACTCGAGCATTTTGCTGCTCACGCGGTTGTCGACTCTAGCAAGAATTTCTGCTTCGTTAAATTTGAAGGTATGGTTGGGTCCCGTCGAATGAGCCGCGAATTGGGAGTTGGCGTCGTTCATCCTCACTGCCACCGTGTGCTCGGCCATCCGCGTCGGCAGTAGTCTTTCGGTTTCTTATAGTTTTTTTGCCCATAGCTGCACAACACACGGTTACCGACTCCAGATATTTCTTGCCGTGGCAATGGGTGTTTCGGTCTTGTGATCTCACGCCTTATGGTTACCCCCGGTCCGTGTGCAACTCCACTTCCAAGGCGCGTAAAGAGGCGGCTAACAGCTTCCGTTCCGTAACAGGGTCAGTGAGCGTCCCTTCGCCAGAGTCTTCGCTAACCTGTTTTAACAGTGAGCTCCATCCCAACATCACAGCGTCCTCGTCAGACAATGAATATGCCTGTAATCAACGCTCCTACGAAAGAAAAACACTTCAGGCTGGCCTGTGGCCTTCTCAAACTCTCCATCGTACAGAGCTTCGGCGCATCAATTGTGTCTCAGTGGTCTTTGATTTGGGAACCCGTTGTTTTCGACGGTCGTACTCGGCAATAGATCGGCGACCGTCAATCCCCTGTGGCTAAGGAGAGCGAGAGAGGGGGGATTCGCCTTATTTTGAAAGTATAGATTCAAAATTTTCAGCAAAATGTGGGCTCCATTCACTGCGGACAGAAGAGAAGTTAATAATTTACTCAAGAGTTAAAAAGTCTTACACAAAACAGAACGATTGATATGGGAACAGTTCGAGTCTTAGCTTCTGTGTTTCTGTCTCTTCACGTGTACGATAGCGCACCAGGAATGGCAATACAGACTGCTGATATGTCGATGTACAACAAGAGATAAGTCGAAAGCCATTGCACATGGGGCGGGAAGACTTCGCTGAGATTATTTCAGAATGCAGGAGATGGGCAACGTCATCCTGAATTCAACCAGCAAATTGCTTGACAAATTCGAAATGTCGCTGCAGGGTAATATCGACTAAAAAGGCATAAGAAATACCGGCAGAAGAAGAGAGCATTCGGACGGCTCGTTTTAAAATCCACAGATATTTTTTGAGCGACGCACGAAAAGTGACAGGAGAAAAATAAAGAAAAAGAGGGAAAATGCGGGTACCTACGAATCGCCAGACTATGGGTTAGAGTGTGTGATATGAACGCAAACGACGAATGTAATAAAGAAGTTTACGAGCTTCCGTGAAAATGGACTCAATATGTAGAGAAAATGAAAGATTTGATGGCAAAGTAGCTCCAAGGTACCTGAAAGAGGATACTTCGTTGGGAAGGATGTTTAAGGAGTCAGGACTAGGAGGGGACCGCAGTCGGAAAATACACTGAACGGATTTTTGATTGTTCATTAGGGGACCATCCTTTGGAGACTGGAGATGTGTCTGATTTTTGAGAGGGTGACCGACAACCACACTGTCAGCATACTTAACTAATAGACAGTCGTTTGGGAATCTTGGATCATCAGTGTGGAGGGAGAAGAGGTGAGAGGATGAAGTGGAACCTTGAAGAACTCCACAGTCATTGGGAAGGGCAGGAGATTTCCGCTTGTCGGATTGGACAAATTGGGTGCGGGAAGTAAAGTAATCGCGGAGCCAAAAGACAACCCAGCCTGGAGGAACACACACGGATTTTTCGGTAAGGAGAAGAGGACGCCGGACGGAATTGAAGGTGGGGTTGCCAAGAATAGCACGTGCGTACTCGCGGCAATCCTTATCTAATTCTCTTGGGGCAGAGCGGGCCGCAAGCACAACAGCACTTAAGGTACTACGCTTGGATTTATTTGAAAATTGTAAAGCATCAGAGAAACTGGAGGACAGTGGCATTCTAATATCCAGGGCAACTCTTACAGAAAGCTTTGGTAGTGCGGAAGAACAGGGAATTGGACGAAATATTTAGGACCAAAATAAGCTGATTTTTTAGGGATAGGAGTGATTCTCACTGTACGCCAGGCGTCAGTAATCTTGAACCCCATGAAAGACATGTTAATAAGGTGCGTTAAAATAGGGGCTATCTGAGAACAACAAGATTTAAGAAGAAAAGGTGAGACACCATCCGGTCGGGAGCTGTTGATCCACGGACCTTTTAAGGTGTTTCTCCACTGTTGCCACAGACATTGGTGGGAAGACACATGGTAGTAGGGGAATGTCGTTTAAAGAAAGATGCTAGTCATTGAGACTAAAAATAAAAATTTTGCTTAAAGAGTAAATCAGCATCCACGTGCACCAGTGTGCTACGATGATCAGTGAGACGTTTAAGATTCTTCAAATTTTCAGCAGAGGAATGAGAAAAAGAAGGGGGGAGGAAGAAGATATAAAAAGTTGACTAACAAACAAGTCATTTGGTCTGGAAATCTCTGTTTTAATTTACATGCTAACTTCCTTAAGGTTATCACGTAAGCTTGGCTTGTAGAGGAGTTCCTTTTTGCGTCTTAAGGATTTTAGATAGGGAGAATAAATTGTATCCGGTCTTACCACAACAGTACCAAGAGGACAGCAAACATCAACAATTTCATTTAAAAACGCTGTAAGGTGGCTAGAACATGATTCGGCATTCGTTTGTTTAAGGAAAGCAGGAATAGTGTTGGATGGGAAAGTCTAAAGCAAGCGAAAGCTTTGTGCGGAAGTGTTGCGAACCTTAACGTTCCTCCCAGGTTTGGTTAACAGTGCACATTTAAAGGTGGAATAAATTTTCGGAAGACCCAATGATCTGAACGTGACAAGGGGGCTCCATTTCTAACACAAAAAAGTCTGAGGTGGTTGGTCAAAATGTTATCAAGAGGAGCATCAGCGCGAGTTTTGAAGAAGACAAGATCAGCAAAACCTAAATGCATGAGGGGACCTACCCTCACGCAATTAAAATCACTGCATAAGAGAACAAGACGTTTGCGGGACAATATAGCAAGTTCTTATGAAATAAAGTCGAAAAATGGACCATAGCACCTTCACAGGTAGGGGAGATGTAAATACCAACAAACATGATGCCGTTAGAAGTACTCAACAAGCGGAGCTGGCATATAACAGCGATAATGTTTATCAAATCATCAGAGTAGGAAAATAAGGACTTAGTCTCTACACCAATTTGGGTTGACAAAAATAGGAAAGTTTTCACCTCTGCTACAAGGTAATGATTTTCTATCCGTTCAAAAGCAAAAGAAAGTCGGAGGAGTAATTAGCCGCGAATCAATATCATCAGTTAACCACGTCTCTTGAAGAAAAATCACCTCAGTTTTACTGCGCTCTTTTTTCAACAAAGGTAACTCCATATCGTGGGCCTTGTTGATGATCGAACGACACAGTCGTGCTGTACGTTCGCACTGTTCATTGATTCTCACTGAGAGTTTTCATTCTTGTATCCTCGCACCATTTGCCAGCCCCCATTTTACCAATTATGAAGCCGCCACCCCGTCACGAACAAACGTCCATAAACCTGGTGCAAGAGTAAACGGCTCATTACTACACATCGGAATGTCTTTAAACTAGAGGAAATATGATATATTGTCGCGGTAAATAATAGGCTGCGGTTGTGGTAAGGGCAGCCGTGATGGTCACTAGAATCCAGCGGTGGATTTGAAGATATCGGACAGTGGAATCGTAAGCGACCGACCAGGCCCACACGCGATGTGGAGGTGCAGTAACAATGTGTGCCGGTTAGCTCTGTGCCCACGTTGGTGGTGGTGCCACTGAAACATGTCCTCAAAGCTAAGCCCATGTTCAAGGCCATGTATTATCTTGTAGACGAGGATAACATCAACTTGTCATACTTGAGAAACATCAGTTTAGGCGCGAAGAAGGAGACAGGATCGCTGGAACAAGGGCTTTATTCGTCTGACATTTTGGATTTCTGCTCGGACGAGAGAGGTAACATCATTTACGTGATTCGAGCAGGAATCCGAAACGTCAGGCTAATAGAGCTCTTGTTCCAGCAATCGTGTCTCCTTCTTCACGACTGCGTCCTGAAACTCGCCCCTTCGCTTTTGTCAGCTTAAGCATTAGCGTTGGTATGATTCTACAATGCCTGGGTGGTGGTGGTGGTGGTGGTGGTGGTGGTGGTGGTGGCGGCGGCGGTGGTCATTCGAGTCTTGGCAGCGTCTACCTGTTGGTGGATACAAAGTTGTCGGACCAAGGAGAACGGGGAGGGAAGCACGGCGTCTTGGGAAAAATGGGAGAGACGCCCTCGCTGATGACGCTGTTGCTGGTGACGGTGCTGACATGGTGAGTCGAAAGGTGTCTGACGAGGCCAACCCGAGCCTTTAACTGATGTTGGCGATGAGGACTTGTCAACAAGTGTGGTTCCTGCCCCACGGCATTCCACTCTTTCGTGCCCGTCGTTTCGCCTTGACCTCCTCTGACCAGTTAATTCGTAATCGCTACAGACGACTGTTCGTTGCGCCTGTCGGTCTTGTGCAAATGTATCCCAGATCTTTCGGTTGATTTTACGGAGCCTAGAGAGGAAAATGCGTCCCGCCCAGGCGTCCCACATATTTTATAGGAAATTGATACAAATTCCCGATATATACAGATGGTAGATCAACTTGTGGGAGATGTTCGTCCCTTTGTGCCTTGGGGCCAAATTTAGAGCCCTCTCGAGCAGTCGCATAGTGACTAGTATGTGAAGATAATTGAAACTGGGTCGGGAAGCGCCACTTCATCATAATTGACATTCCTGATCACAACCGACAGGACACCGAGCCATTGGCTCATTGGTAGGGTGTTAGGCCCAACGACCGAAGATCCCGAGTTCGAATCTGAGGCGGTTCTCATCCGGGGTCGGGTAGGGCCGGGTGGTGAAGTCTAATACGCCAGAAATGTCTATTCCAATATCCCTTGCCTTTGTCGGTACTACAAAGCGTCGACTAGACGCCAAGACAGTAGCACAATAAACACCGCTAAAAACGCCTCCGTTTCCGCAACGGCATTTTCTGCGTAGAATCTGGCCTCATGTCGGAAACCATAAAGCAGTAGAGAAAGGTTGTTAATCAATAAAGAACCACAGAGGGCATAAGTAACGATCCCACAGTCATAGCTCTCGGGGTGAGCTCTGCTTCACCAAACTCACAAACAGTCTCTGCGAACCTATGCAACAGCCTATGAATTCAAGTCGACCAACCGACAGATGTGTACGCACCGGAGACGGCCTCCATCATGGCTTCGCCACTTTTCTCCGTAGCACCAGTCCGCCTCAGGTGATAGTTAAGTTGCTTTAGAAAGGAAAACCACAACAGCGACAAAGCTATTGGAGACAACTGAGGATGGCGACGTGCGGGTGGCAAGGTCCACTACGGGACGGGCAGGGTCTCGACTGAAAACCAAGAGACCTGATTTCCCAGCCAACAGTGCAGGCACAGTCCCATTCAACAGGGAGGCAAACGTGTTCTGCGTTTTGATCTTCCAATCACTTAACACCGCCATCTTCACCAGTTCACACTGAAACACGCTCCAGGAAGCGCAAAAAGGTGGTCGGTTGTTGGAATAAAAACCATATTCGTCCGACGCCTGTATACACTTTTGAATAGCAGCAGACCAAAACGGCGAACGCACAGGGATGCAGTACTCACAAAATGCAGTCGCTGCGACGCTTGCATTTATTGCATTCCTTGGTGTGAAAAATCGCCATCATCCAAAATTTCAATATTGCGGCGACCCCACTGTCCTGTGTTGATGATTGGCGTGACAGTTAATCAGTAGTTTAGCCAAACGGTGCATCCACTTGGTCAGCGTTTACCTGTACGTCCCTTGTTTGGCCAATTGCCTTGCCTATGCCGACTTGGAGCGGTACATCAAGAGAGGCCGTTGCGTTTGTAAGTGGACGGCAGTCCGTAGAACAAAGACTCAAACAGTCCGCGACTCACGTGGTCGTCACCCCACGCGTATTTCCGCCCCCTCAACGTGGGCGGCGTGGTCGGACCCAGTCAAATCAGCCTCGGCCTGTGATTTGCCATCATTCCTTCTCGCTGCAACCAGCGCATGAGGAGGCCCCGATAAGTGGCCTTGGCCGATTCCATTGTCAGCCCAAAGCGTATGACGATGGCTTCCTCCTCTGACCAAACGTATAACTCAACGGCGCTCCAACTTACGGACTGATAGTGGTTATTTCGACGCATCAAACATTTGACTGCAGACTCGTATGGCGCAGTAATCTCACCAGACCAATTTTCAGATTAAACTAAAGAAACAATTCTCCTGTCTAACGACACCATGGTGCTTTCTGATGTCATGCTCCTGCTTACTTTTACTTCCAAGGATCTGTCGGGACCATATAATTACCCCATGAAAGGAGGCATAGTGAGACAGAGAACAGCCTCGGACGCACCCTAACCCCACACCTGAAGTTCAGCCCTTAGAGTACTTCACACTTGATGGGCGATTGAACAGCAGGCGAAAGACATGCGTGTGTGTTCGCCGGTTTCTAGTCGCGTAGTCAAGACGGTCTCTTAACAATTGGTTATCGGCCTTTCGAAAGTAGGGGTCAACATTCTGGGCTCCGTACGTGGATTATATCCCCATCGTAGTCGAATGAGCTCAAGTTTTGGCAATCATAGAACATATTAACACCAGCTTCTCGGGCAAATAACTCATGCTAAGGAATGACAACAACGAATAGATGCCCCCCCCCCAGCGTCCTCGTCTGTCGCGAAGTTTGTAATGACGTAAAACTCAAAGCGTCCAAAAGTCTACGAATACGTCGCGAGTGCTCAGCTCCAACGACAGCCACTCGACCAGCCAAAACTTCAGCTACGAAAGGACGTCCTATCACCACGATGAGACGGACTAAGGCGAACCGGTGGCTCACAACGCCACCGATGGGTATTCTGAGGGGACAGCGCACAATGTAGCTTCTTCAACCGGGCGAGGGCTTTACCGCGTCATAACCGCGTAGGAAGTCGTCAACCAGGCAAATAAAGTCTTTGTCCCAACAATCATATCCCAATCCTAATTTCCTCTGACGGACCGGATTGACAGTGGTCCAGAAGACGATCAGTTAGCGTGGTTGCCCTAATTTATGCCAAACAACTAGATGCGAGTGACAGTGAAAGGGACGGTCCCACATTGTGCTTTCAGAATCCGACGGTCTACCGCACGTAGATTACAGCCTGGCACTCATACCTGAAAGACGTCCGAGGGTGATGTCTAGCAAAGTTTGACAAGTTCATCCTCTGGAAGCTAGTGTTGGTGACCACTGCGAACGTTCGTCCCTCTTTAGATAACGTCGACTAGATTTTAGCGTCCGAAGAGAAATGCGAGCAGGAGGCATAGGCCCCACCAGAATACAAACACCGTCCAGTTCTCTTCGAGATTGAGATGTCAGTTTGCAAGGTCTATGGCTGACACTCCACCGAGTGCCCAAACTGCGAAAACCTGACAACCCGGGCAATCTGACAGACATTCTCCACCCTCTCCAGACGGAAACGATGCTAGCCGCGTTACTTAATCTCAAAGCACTCAAGCCTGTTAGTACTTTGCTGATCGGCCAAGGCTAAAAATGTTTGCGGATCTCCCGAGCACGGAGTTGGAGGCAGTAGGACCGTCCGGGGAGGATAACTGCCTTCTGAGTTTACTATTTCTAGATTTACGCGAACTTACTACTGGCAACGCAAGCCACATCTACTTTGCATCATTTAAATCCGCTTCTCGTGTATAAGCACTACTAAAATTGACGCACAGACTGCCCGAAAACGAAAGACTTACTTAACTGAGGGAAAAAAGTACTTCCACGTCGAGAGACCCCTCTCGAGGCGTTTGTGCGGATAACAAACGCTGGAAGTCCTAACACTGGTTAGTGCCTGACAAGTCCCACCACTCCGGCAAGGCCATGGCTGCCATCCTGGAAGACGTGCACAGACGGAGCTACGAGTTATCCAGGGGGCAAGTTTGCAAACTGCGAGGGCACGGGCACCAACGTTCTCGTTGGACGAGTTAGATTACCCGAATAAACTAATGTAGTCCCCTGAATTGCTGGTTAGCAAGGGTCTAAGCTTTCTGCCCAGGTCGGCCTCCAGTCTTGCCTCACCTAGTCATTGCTACTCTGCTTTGAGTTTGGGTGTCCTGATGGGAAGCAGCCTGGATTATCGCGACGACCAAGGTCGCCGACTAATGATACTTGTACTGTTATAATCAGCGCTGCCGACCAGCCGGAAAGTTCTAGTAAGTGCATGTCCACCTAGGGTGTCAACCGCAGTTACTCCACCCTTGAGAGACTGGGAGGGTTCCTGAACTCCTTTGACATCCGTCCAGAGGCCTGGTGAATCAGTACGCACGCGTTGACCCCCTGTGCCGGCGATCTCCCGAGTTCTTGGGGCAAAATTAAGGACACCGCCAGGCATCCTAGGTCAACTTCTAACACGACAACATATTGGGACAGCTGCGCCTCGAATCAATGCGGGAAGCCAACCGAGCTTCCTGAATGTTATCGAGCCATGTCCCCGGACACCGTGTAAGATGTACCCATCGACATTAACTTGCGTACTGGGATGTCAACGCAAGGCGGGAATAGAGGCACCGGACCTCACACGTAAGATTGCGGACACCGAAACGTGATTCCGTCGGCGTGGCACATGACATAATATAACCGCATGTGCAGCGCCATGGCTAACAGTGTGAACCAACTGCAGGAAGAGTTTCCCATAGCTCTTACCCGTTGCGCTGCTTCCAAGCCCTACGCACCACCTCGAACAGTAGACGTAGAGAATAGACGCCATGGTTGTGGGAAACAGGACAAGGATAGCAGGCCTAACCGTGCACTGCCGAGAAACAGAGGGCGGTCTGGTCCAGCATAGGGCGCTGAACCACCTGGCAAGACTACTTCTGACGACACCGGACGTACGGAAACACGGTCAGGCTGACTTATTTAATAATGAATAAACCGACATCTGGGCAGGTGAAGCTGAAACTGGACAGCGAAGTCGGGGTAGAAAAGGAGGCGGCAGCCATCGTACTTGAATGAAGAACTCAGTCTACAACTGTGATTATATTAGACCTCTGCGAAAGCACTTCGGTCCAGATAACGCAGGAACATCGTCGCGAGCAGTTAATGGGGACTTGGGACAACAAAAGGCAACGCAGAACGAGAATACATTCGAGACAGGCGAGGACACGTCAGCGAGTTTGTGGTTGCGTAGCGAATGGCGGCCTGTGCTTACTTTCGCGAAGTAGCCCAACAAACTATTTCACCGGCGATCGACCCCGGGGAAGGATCCGAAAAAAGGGCCTTAGAGATATGCGAACCTCGAAAGTCCACACAAGAGAAAGCGACCACGGTGACGTAAGATTACGGGAAGAAGACAAGGGATAAACAAATCGAGCACTTTATTTAGACAATGGACAAAAAGCCTAACTATGTGTATTTGGTCCCTGGAGGGTGCTGCGAGCGGGCTACCCAACCCCATCTTATTTTTTTACAGGTATGGGGAGGTAGGATTTACCGAGGCTCTGACCAGCGAGTGTTTACTCACTCTCCTCCGTGAGAGCTACTTAACTAATAGTTATTTGCTTGTAAATTTATCTGCCTTCCGTCCTCTTTTCTGTTCAGCCAAATCCAGGTAGCACGTCAAAATGGGTATAGTAGCCGAGTTTCTGGAGGCCTGTTACAGACGATGTAGTTAGATCAGTACAGGGAAGCGGGCTTATTTGGGATTCGCCGAAGTACGATGAAATGCAAACTAGAAACTAGTCAAATTTACTTAAGACGGTCACGAAGAGCGGGGTCGATGACGCGTGTGGCACCTAAAGCAGACATTGTTGGGAAATTTACTTTGCGACGACAGGAACGACCCGAAGGGAACGGATGCCTTGACACAA